CTTGTTCTCTTCCTCCTGCTTCATTATGTTTGCGGGCCATTGCTCTTTATTCTTGACCCAATCTTCAGTCGCGTTGAGAACATATCTCCAACCAAGTGATCGGTTCTCTGGATGTCGAAGATGGAAGTCCTCGAAATAGTTAGCTTCATAGCTCACTCAACCACACAAATACTGACCTTTTGGTTCTCAATCAAGTCTCTGAAATTGATCAATTCTCCACTCTGGGCTCGCTTCTGAAACGCAAGATACTTCTGCTTCTCTCTCACCACTTCCTCTGTGTACTCATCATCTTTATGAGTAAGTCCAGGAAGTCGGTTATTGCGATCTCTGAAGCCAACGCGGTGCTGGTGCCCAGAAACCCAATCCGGCTCGTTCCGGATCTCTTCAGCCGTCGACCCTGGATGGGCCTGAACTTTGACAACCCAAGGCTTGCTGTGAGGCATACTTTAAATCTCTTGAGGGGATGTTTACAGATCAATGGAACTGAACCTTGAGCGTGGTTTGACAATCTATGAAAACCCAAAACTTGACGCTTTTGTAATCTTGACTCCGCGGAGAAAGCTAGACATGACGTCGATGATATCCAGAACAGCACAAGCTAAGCTAAATTGAAGAATAACTGACTAAGATCAGAATTTTAGCCCTTGTTTTTGACTTTCATATCCAAGAACCATGATCTGATACTGCCGGTATTGCCGGAGGATGTTGGATGAATTGATCGGGGACTGACGAAAGTCGGCCAAAGCCGCCTACTCTTAAGCTCTTCTCAATTTTATAAGTTTATCATAAAGTGATTGAATTTTCAATGAGTTTTGAGACACTACGATAATAATTATGGTATTTCATAATGATATAGTTTTATAGTTCTTATTGTTAACTAGTGGCCAGTTCAAGCAAACATTACAAAGAAACGGAGTGTGCTGCAATCTATCGCAGAACCCTTTCAATCAAAGACATTGCGAGTAATAAGGATTGAGAACCTTGCAACTCGAGCCCCATTGACACACTGTCGGTCCAGTGTAGTCTTTACCTCCGCATTGGCTGTACTTTGGAAGACCTCCTGTAGCAGGACCGCAGATAATATCGTCGTCCTCTGTGGGCTGTGGTGTATCCTTCGTTGTGCTGGACGAGGAAGACCTGCTTGTTGTTGAAGTCTTGAGTGTTGTATCTCCTCCAACAGCACTGCTGGTCGATGTCGAGCCTCCCTTTGATGTAGAAGAAGAAGCTTTGCTGCTCGTGCTAGCTTGGCTCTGTCCTGGCACAGTTGCACTCGATGTTGCAGTTGCAGCAACAACACGCTGAGAAACTGTAGAAGGGAGGCCAGGAACCAATGTAGGGCCGGGAATCTTGTAGGACAAAGGTGTTGTATAGAGGTTGAAGAGGATACCAGGATCGTTGGCCTTGTAGAGTTGTGTGCCCTTGACGCCATCTGGAGCCAAATCTCCGTCACCAGTGACTTTGAGATTAAAGCACTGGGGGTAATTCTGTGCTCCATTAGGCTGTCCAGAACCGTGCAGAGCTATAATCTCGTGGCGAAGAACATAGTTCCCAGGAGCCAAGGTCTCAGGGATTTGAACTGTCCAAGAGAAGCCAGTAGCTATAAGCACGTCAGATGCCCACTTGCCGTTTTGCATCGACATATCAATGAGACCTTCTTGACCAATCTTGAAGAACTCAAGATCGTTCTTATCAACAGTCTCGCAGTCTCCAGGACATCTCGCAAGATAGTCAATCACAGGTCCGTGGTGTGAGTCTGGCCACGTATTCCATTGAAGAGTGATCTTGTCACCTGCTGCAACGCTTACGTGCCCTTTCCCAGGTCTCGCCGCTCTGTGGCAGATGATATCGGGGTCTGAGAAGGAGTTGGGCTCAACATAGCCATTGTCAGTGGCACCATTGGTCCAACCGACGACAGGAGGATGATTAGGATTCCAGCTCATCTCTGGAGCAGAGTAGCCTCGAAATGCAACACCGTTTGTGACAAGCCAGTCTACATGGCCGTGAGCAGCAACTTGCGCGGCTGAAGTCGCGAAAGCGAGAAGTGAAGATGTCTTGCGTGAGAGCATCGTAAAGTTGAAACTGACTAGCAGTAAAGAAGATATGAAAGAAGAAAGCACTTATGCGTTATGATTTATTTTCCTTCATATGATTTTCTTTCGAATATTATATATTCTTGTCGTTTTGTTAGCCAAGGTACCCTGGAATGGCAGATGGTCTCGACCGGCTTTGTCCCCCACCACGTTCTCCAGCGACATTCCCGGATGTGGACAGCTTAAAGCCTCAAATGCCAATGTCTCAAGGACAAACGGAGGTCTTGTATCATCACGCGTTTCAATATATTGATTTTGTGCTGCTGTGGCTTATCGAGGACGCCATGTCTCGTTCCTCGTGAAGTGCTTGTGTTTCTCGCGAACAGCTCCCTCACCACAGGACTGGCTGTCCTTTTATAACGGCTCAGGACTTTTGACAACACTAATGGTCATTATATTTCTGCTTCGAATAGCTGTTGATAAGCTACAGTCAAGAAAAAAGGCAAGAATAGATGCTGATCGATTAGATCTGACTTGCCCAGCATATCGTTTCTGTCTGGACTAACCGGTATCACAATCCTTTAAAGACACATGGTTAAATCTAAGCTTAAGCCACCATGGGCAACATATTTGACTCCAACTGAAACGTTCCATCGGTCTTGAATCTCTTCGCTAGAGCTTTGCCTGGTATCGTGGCGCTGTTTAAAGTGTGGGTTTGGGCGGGAGATTGACGCGCTATGAGACGCCGGATCGAGCTTGGGCCTGCTTTGTTGGAAAATGCCTGATGGACTCAGCTTTGACCTAAGGAATGGTGGGTGAGACGAAACATTGGATGAATAACATTGTAAGCGATAAGTGTATTGTCAAGTTACGAATTACCGAAAGCGTCTTGCCTGGCCATAATGCCCCTGGGGAAATCCTCCCTTGGGTTGAGGGATATGAGCTACCACATTCCAAGCCCCAACGGGAATTCCCTGACCTCGAGGAGCAAGATGCCTTGAAAATTTGAGAAGGGTGACAAAAAGAAAAAGCTGGTCCAAGGATTCGCAAATTATAAACTAAATTTAGAAAATTTATCCTAAAGTCTTCTAAGCTTTGCCATGGCCTAAGATGTAGGCCCCAAGTTTATCTGCCTCCCTAGCCTAGGAAACCACTCGTAAAAGGCCTCCAGGGGCCAAAGGCATATGTTCTCCCCTGCATATCTCCTGTAGCCTCACCAAAAACGCCACTCAGCCATCATCTAGAGTCGCAAACGGGAGCGTTCGGCCGCACCCGTCCAAGACATGAGCCCATTGTTTAAACATCTAGATTCAATATTGTCCAGCTTCCATTCTAGACGGGTTCACAAATACTGTCCTTCCTCGGTTAATTTCTTGGCGAGTGCCAGATGTCTTAGACTTCCAGCAAAGCCACTGGAATGTATTGGCTAAGATATGTGACGGCAAGCTTTCGCTAACTTTAATGCCAACTTTATCTTTATCCTTGTTTGTTTCAAATGTGACAGGAACAAACTCTTAGTTTCACTTTGGTAAGTACGGTTATTGACAGCCAAACTGGTGCTGTTGGATGTACCTTCCTGGACGCGACGCAAACGTCGACGCTGAAGAATGCGTAAGGATTCCTGTGGTTGGCTGCCAATGGCTAGCCAGTAGAGTATCAAGCTTCTCACCCCCAACGACCCAGACAATGGTGACACTTGGATATTGTGATTCAGGCGAGAAACGAGCATCATTGGCAACATCTTTCAGCCTCTTTAATCATTTATAACTGCTTAAGAAGAAGCTTGGATGATCTTATCTGCCATCTCGCTCAAAGTATCCGACATGACATCCATCTCCCCAAAGATATCCACACAAGGCTCTTTTTCCAGCACAGAACAATAGGCACTCTTGAATCTACAGTTCATCCATTAGCAACAGCAAATAAGCAATGGCAACTCACTCACCCAACTTGCTTAGCTGAGCTTACGTCCCACATATGGGCCGCAGCGAACCAAAGCTCCTTTGCTTCCTTCAACTCCTCAAAGGTCGAGGCATATGCCTTGAGGTCCGGCTTGCCCACTCCAAACGAGTCACAAGACATCAAGTGTTCCTTTGGAAATTCAATCCCCGCCTTGTCAAAGTACCCAAGCACTCTGTCGAAATCTCCAGCTGTCAGGCCACGCACAGTGAATCCCGCTGCGCGAAGCTTATCAAAACATTCCTTGAGATCAGGCCTCGGCTCAAGTTCCATGTAACCTTGGGTAATATTCTCGATATCAGCTTCACTGGCGAAGGAGCGTGGCTCCTGGATGCCGGCAAGCCAGAGCATGCGATAGAAGAGGGACGAGAACAATTTGTCGAATGCGACGTATCGGCCAGTTATAGAGAGATATGTATATTCTCTCTCTGAGGCCTCTAGCCAGGTGTTCACGAGAAGACTGGGCTTTACATTCTCGGCCAGCAGCTTGTCACCGAGTTGCTTTTCGACTGCTTCGGTAAGCTTGTCGTATGAGACACAGGTCCCGACGATGTCGAAGACGACGTACTTTCCATTGTTAGGTGACATGTTGCTATCGGGACAATAAAGAATACTGAAGATGAAGAGTGAGAGCGAGGAATGAGTATCTGTTATCAGTCATAAATAGGTCCCTCTGTGTTGACTCACGGCCCCTCAGTCTAGTGATGCAACCTAAAAGTATCTTAGATTCTCCGTAATCGGGTAGTAGTATCCGATATTTGGAGCTGATAAGTTAGATAGTCGGATGCGACAACCGTTAGTTAACTCATGCGGGGGACCGGGTCAAGGAACCGAGAGGTATCAGACCATACAATAGCAACTTCCATGTTTCTGTAACTTACAGAAAAATCATTCTGAAACACTATTTATTCATTCAAGACGCTCCGGACAGTAGAACGATCGAACACATAATGCTAGGTAATACTTCACATCTCTTTCCTCATCCGCAGCCATGCACGCCATCCTACCATATCAGGCCCAATGCCCATGCCGAGTTGTGCAGTAACAGCATCGCAGAACTAGCGCGCTGCCGTGATCTTCCACGTACGTCCCAAAGTCGGCACCGCAATGGCGGCACTCGTCCCAGTCGTGCATTGTCTGAATTAACGCATTCATCTTGTTGGTGATCTCCCATTTTCTTTCAACCTCATTTTTCTTCTCAGTTCTCGCCATCTTTAGTTCCCTCTTCATCTCCTCTCGTCCATTAACGAGCGCCGAAATTTCGCTTTTCTGTGCATCAATAGTTTCGCGCATTCTGGCTCGCTCCCCTAGAGACATGCCAGTATTCCTTTGTCTCTCCAGTTCAAGGTTCCTCTTGATCTGAGTGACTTCTTGCACTAGAGTTGCTGTGCGCTTTCTTTCTGTCTCGAGGGCCTGTGACGCTTGGGTGAGCTTGGTGGTCAAGTCTGTTGTCACCTTCTGCTCGTCTTTGAGGGCATTTCGAACATCGTCTCGTGCAAATTCCGTAATGCTGACCCTGCTACGTCTTTCGAGTTCGAGTGATTTCTTGAGGTCGTCGTTCTCTTGTGTCAGAATCGACGACTTTGTCTTCTCCTTAGCCCATCTGGCCCTGAGCAAGCCGGTCTCGGATCTTGTAACTCTGAGCTCTCGTTGGAGTGTGTCGATTATTTTATCGTCTTCCTCTGCTTTAATTACCGTTGAGGATTTCTTGTTCGCATCATTTGTTCCATGTCCATCACGCTCCGTGGAAGCGGGCTTTTTCGCCGCAACCTTCTGGAGTTCTTCCTTCTCTGCTGTTAAGGTCGGCACCTTACTCCACAATAAGTCTCGCTCCGCAGAAATATTCGCATGGCTCTGTCGCAGTTCTTCCTTCTTGACTGAAGAAGCAGATATCTGCTCTCGGAGTTGGTCTCGCTCACTGGAGACTGATATTACTTGTTGTTTGAGAGAAGAGACTTGGAGTCGGAGGGCCCCAATCTCGGTGGAACTCTCTTTCTGGCTCGGTGGGCCCGCTGCTAATTTCGTTTGATCTCCCTTTTGTTGGAGAATATTGTCTTGCTCTCGAAGCTTGGGATGAAAACTTTTGAGCATCGTCGCATGGTCGAAGCCGTTCGAAGTTGTCAGAGAATGCAGGTGCCCCCTCGCAAGAGTCACAAGTAGCTTTTGCAATTCATCGTCTTTTGACTTCAAGACAATGGCGGCAGTGAAAAGGAAAACCGAGTCAAACCATTTCCCTCCGAAGACCTTTTGGATGTTGTCCCTGGCTAGCTCGCATAGCTTGGGAATGCCATAGTGAGTTCCGATGGCGCAGATTTCAAGGTGACATGTTAATACATCGCGCATGAAATGCTCCGGCGTCGGTGAACCTCCAACTGATAGTGGTTAGCCTCAACCATAAACGACAATGAGCGACTTCATACCAGCTTGCAGCACACTGGGAAAGTTCCTTCGGTCAACTTCGTAACAACCAGACTTGAAGAATTCAACCATACAGTTTACTGTGTCCAAGGAGAAGTCTTTGATAGTGATAACCGGATTCTGAGATATCTACACAGCGTCAGTGTCCCTGGAGAGTATGAGCTGCGGGATATCGCACTTCTTGAGCGGCATCGAGAGAAGCTGCGAGCTTCGGAGACTGCGCTCGCGCGATAGACTGTGGAATAGCAAATGCAAATCCCTGGCACAGAAAGGTCAAAGACAAAGATGCTTCTCCCATGCTGGCAAGTATCTGTTGTCACGCGGCTGCAGTCTTATAGAAGAATGGCGTAGACGAGACGGAGAAATTACAGGCGATGAGAATACAAAGCGTCGCTAGAAAAAGGAGAAGTTGTTTTGGTGATGAAAGAGCTGAAGTGGGGCTGAGGCAGAAAGGTCATTACCAGGGAGGTAGGTGGTAGGCAAATTACGGTTGGCACTGGCAGCACCTTCCCCATGCTTGACGATAGCGCTCCTGAAATTTGCATCACCTGATAACGTTCGAACCTCGCTGAGATTGAGATGGTCCTCGCGGATCAGATCGGAGAAACAAGTCATGACCAACGGTTAGCTTCACTACAGCAACTTACTCTGCCTACATTCGAATGCCAATACAACATGTTTCATAGGAAGAACTGCACGGACAAGCTATGTTTCTCAACCTTTCCAGAGCTAAGTTTAGTTGCAATAATTCGTGATGCCATACAAGAAAACTACTTTGGGGTTAGCACACGCACACCCAGTTACTCGATGACTATGCTGGCAAGGCTTCCGGCAAGTCGAGAGACAGAACGTGATAACCGAGTTGCATTGCGAACCTGCCCACGTAAATACGTAAATTCATCTCAGCGAAGACTTGCCGCTATCTCTCTATATGTAACGTTAAGCCTTGAGTTCTGCTCTTGTTGACACGATTCACGCGTTACTTTATTATCGAGAATACACCCATGCTGCAGCTCATTCCTGATCCCCTGGCCACTCGAAGTATCTTGATTGCACCCTAATGTTAAGCCTCCATCCCTATGGTTCATATTAAAACTTAGCTGGATCATTATCAAAAAACAACAATGCTGGGTGGTGTAGTGGTAACATCTCCTCCACGATGCCGATTCGTCGGATCGTTCTGTAGCTTGCTATGAAGGGTTGAAGGAGGGTGCCGCAGGTTCGAATCCTGCCCCGGCAATCTTTCTTTTTGTATTCTGAGGATTTTTTTTGCTACTGTTTCTATTTTTCTGTCTCTCCGGATGGAGCTGGCTGCATGAAGTCTTCTGGTCTATAAGTCTGCTAATACGCAATGCTATTGTTGGCGTCCAAGTCAGCTTCGTTCAGCAACGAGCTACATAATTTGTCATCTCTCGCTGATATGTGATCTTATTGCCATTTCAAAAGACTCATTCATGCAGCTAAGCAGCTTCCTCTATTGTTGCATAGCCGGAACATGAGCGATGGCAAAGCTTTCTCGTGAATCGGTTGGCACTGCGGCGACAGGATCAATACGTTATATCTTGAGGATAAACACCGATGATGCTGTTGGTAGCGAATGCATGGCGGAGTTCTGATTATGAAATCGAAGGAGAGGGGCTTTGTCCTTGCACTTTGAGAGCTTGACTCATGTTATAGGAGCGTCTTCTGATAATGATCATCAGCTATGAAGGTAAGAGGCTGTTTTCAATCCCAATGGAGGAGGCGCACTTTGACTTGTCTCTGGGGCGTTGACGGAAGACTGGGGTTGTGGCAGTCAATGGACGTCATTATTGAAGCTATACTTCCAGATTCAAGCGATGACCGAGCGAGCCACTGCACCCGCGGCTGTAAGAATGCCAACTAACGTAGATTTGATTCAACAAGGAAGTAACACATGGCCATACAAGTCTTGTCCATCTATTACTGTTAGAGAAAGGACTTGTCCGAATCCGGTCGCGGGTGCAAGTGTAACAAAGATTACAACATTAACGTTGGATGATCGCTTTGTTAGTGCCTTGCAGTTTTGAACAGTGTAACTTGCCAATCACATAAATAATCGGCTGGATCAGGCATGTTAACCTCAAGACACTTTCTTTGCTGGCCAGAGTTTGAATGAACTACGGCACTGGAGATTGCTTGCAAGATCGTATGCAATTCGGAATTCCTTCATGCATTGGAACTATCAACCGGCTTTTCAAAGCTACATCCTCCATAACTCTGCCACAGGGACTGTTTCGTCTGGTGTGGGCATGTGGCAAAGAAGAAAAAGCAAAGTAAATATGACAGAGGTCCAGCTTGCATAATAAGAAAAGAATTTCAGCATATACTATTAGGAAATCCAAGGTGTGGATCATCTTGACCACACTATCTTATAGATTTGTTCCGGGTCTCTGTATCAAGCCACCATTTCTCCCCACCTATAGGAGGAGAGAAAACTAAGGACCTATATCCTAAATGATGAAAAGACTTAGGTAAGTTAGCCCAAGTTTAGGGGACTCTTTACTGACTTTATCTTGGTGTCATCTTCTGAAGTCTTATCACGCCTTTGAACCACTCCCGACTCCACTGAGGTCAACGAGCCTGCCTGCCGTATCACGATATGCCTAGCTGTAGATGGAGCACCTAAGGAAACTTGACCCTCCTCTTTCAAGATTCTACGTAGGGGCAGAGAGGTCACCATCGGGTCGCATCATAAGCCTCAGTGTAAAACAGCATGGTCACAACGTATCGGTATTCCCTGCATATCGCGTTTTAGCCTCAACAAGGAGATTCCCCTTTTCCGTCTTGCTGGGGAGCAAAGACATTCCAACAAGAGCATAGTCGCACGATAGGCCATGATCCAATAACGTTTATGCTCAAAAAGCACCGAGAGCTTCTCGTTTGGAGCTTGGAACAATTTGGTAGGTCGAAACATACGTGACGTAGCACGGGATTAAAACTCGATCGGGGATCTACGTTTAGTGACACAATCCACGCGTCAAGTTCTCACCGAGACGATATCCGTGTTTCAGCTGACGCCCGATTCCCCGGGCGATCGAGACAAGATAAGAATCTAGCTCACTGGTTTAGACGCGCGTTTGGGAATAGCATCAAACTGAAAGGCAATGTGGACTGAACACCAATTACGAGAGGTGCATAGGACCACCTATCTAGTATAAAAGACTGTTGTGGAAATTTCTGGATTGTTCTGGTGCAATCCCCACGCAATGGGTGCCATAGGCAGTTAGCTACCATCGGAGCAGGTGAGGCGCGCATTTTAAGCTTATCTCAACCTCAACTCTCCCCTTCAAGGCGCCGGAGTAAAGCTCCTCAAAACAAGCATCGAGTCAATAGTTCTGACCTTTAATTGCGATCGCTGACATTTCTCCCTATCGATCCCCAATGCCAAGCTCATGCCTTGACAATGGCGCTCTGCCAAGAGTTTCGCCCAATGCCAAGAGTCCAATCGACAACGAAGCAGACAAAGCAGATGAGACGCGAAAACGCAGAATACATCGTTGAAGTGAGTCTTTTTTAGCCACCCTCTTTATTCTTCCAGCCTCGCTCTTTTTTTAGTTATTGAGATATTGTTTCATGGCGGTTTAGAGTTACTAGCTTCGACGGCCGGGCTGATTGTCGACCGGGGAAGCCCTAGATCTACGGAGTAGGATCAAGTCGATAAAAGATGCACGGATGCCATCCTGGGGAATGAGATATTTAGCTCGCTTTCATTCCATTCTAATTTCCTTTCTTGATCTGCAGGCTGGACCTCTGTTCTATTATCTTCCGTTATTTTCCCCTCTTGTTCCCTCTCTTTTTTTCCCTTTCCTTTCTCGTCGTCTTCGGATTTTTGCGTTACAGTGTTTTTTGCCAAGATGCCTGTCCTTAACCTGTCTGAGCTGAACATTGTTCTCGGCGTCTTGGGTAAGCACTTGGCGGCCATTCATCCATCGCCAAGGCATGTGCTGACAATTCACAGGCGCTTTCATGGTCCTTTATGGCATCATCTCTGTCAAGATCAAGCAGGCTTGGTACCTTGGCGAGGCCCGTTAGTATTTTATTCCTTCAACCACTTCACTGACTGACCTGAAAAGTCCCCGCCGTCTTTTTTGGAGTCATTCTCGGGCCTATAGCAGCAAAGTTCATAGAGAGCGAGAAATGGGGCTCCGCTGAGCCAGGACAGACCAGCGCCATCACCCTGGTATGCCATCACGACCAAGCTATTCGCGAAAAATAACTTATGATGAACAATAGGGTATCGCTCGTGTCATGATTGGAGTACAGCTCGTAATCGCAGGCTATCAACTCCCCGCCAAATATGGACTCACACGATGGAAAGAGATGGCTCTCTGCCTACTCCCCATCATGACTGTGATGTGGCTTTGCACAACAGCCTGTATCATGGTCACTATCCCCAACTTGACCCTCCTCGCCGCCCTTGTCATCGGTTCCTGTGTCACCTGCACCGATCCGATCCTGTCGCAGGCAAGTTAAATCAAGATGTGCTGGGCGGGGACCTGAGATTGAGCGCAGGTAACTAATAAGACTCACGCAGGCAATCGCAAAAGGACCCTTTGCCGATAAATATGTAGCTCGCCCTCTACGTGAAGTAATTTCCGCCGAGGCTGGTGCTAACGATGGCTTTGGCTTTCCTTTCCTTATGCTCGCCACATATTTGATCCAACACGCTGAGAACCCTCCTGCTGCAGCTGGAGCTGTCGCCGAAGGAGCCAGCGGAGTTGATGCGGGACATGCGTTGATGGCACGCGCTGGTGAGGTTGGGCGTCTCGGTGGCGGCGTAGGGGTGGCCATGGCGAACTGGTTTGTTGAGACCTGGCTATATACCATTGTCTTGTCTATCGCATATGGTGCTGTACTTGGGTACGGGTCCTGCAAGGGTATCAAATTTGCACTCAAATCGTAAGTATTACAAGATTGTCCTCTGGCATCCAAATCTGACGCTCCACAGTAAATGGATCGACGAAGAGTCCTATGTGCTTTTTCCGACCGCCCTTGGCCTTTTCACTATTGGTACATGCGGAGCTATCGGAACCGACGATTTATTGGCATGTTTCGTTGCTGGCATGGCACTTAACTGGGATGGAAACTACCTTCGTGAGACTGAGCGTCGTCACGACGAAGTCAACTCATGCGTCGATGTAATACTCAACTTTGGAGGATTCATGTACATTGGTGCTATTCTACCATGGGGGGACTTCCATGATCCCACCGGTACAGGCATAACCTGGGGGCGCCTTATTGGACTTGGTCTCCTCGTCCTTGTCTTCCGCCGTCTGCCTGCTATTTTCGCTTTCTACAAGCTTATGCCTGACGTCTGTACCAATTGGAAGGAAGCTCTATTCATGGGATACTTCGGACCTATCGGCGCTGGTGCTGTCTTCTACGTTGAGCATGCCAGACATCTGTTCCCACACGAAGGCGAAGGTGATGAAGAGGAGACAAACCTCGTTCGTGCGATGGGCCCCGTTGTCTACTTCCTGGTTCTCTTTTCCATCATCGTACACGGGCTATCTATCCCAGCTCTCAACATCTTCTATCACTACACTGGAAAGGCACCTATTCAGGATGACGCTGTCGAGTTGAGACGCATCTCGGTGCGAGTTGCGACTCCTCCAAATGCCATTGCAGGGGATAAAGATACCTTTATTGCCTACAACCGGTTCAGTCGTCATGTCGACCCCAGCGCCATTGGCTTGCCATCCAATAGGTCTGTTGATAGTCTCTCTGATGATGATCTTGGCAAGGGGCAGAAGCACGGTATGGCAATCGTTTAAGCGTGGGATCATTTCAGTCATTTGCAAAGTCCTTCTTTTTGCGTACTCTTATTTTAGAAGCTATCAATTAATTTGTCATGTTGGTCATGATGCCACTCGTTTAAAAAAAGTCCGGCGTCATCTTTCCTGCCAACCTTTTCTTCTAACCTTTTCTGTGAGCCAACCTCTTTCATGAATTCACTGGGATTCACTATACGCTGGCTTCCGGCTACGGGACTATCACAATTAGAAAGGGAGAGAAATCGTAAAGGCTCTATATTGGGAACCGCGGCCCGCGATCATTTCTTGCTCTTGGTTTGTTGCAAAGTCGCACAAGATCTTGTGGCAATGACGAAGGCACTAGCTGATGCCAATAGTCTCGCTGATCATAGACAATAGAAGGGATCTGGACAAGAATAAGCAAAGACCAGGCGTAGCAGCATCGAGATTATGGGGCTTCAGCTTTATCTCTCCAAGAGGAAGCAATAAAAGCTAGGACCTTTATTCTAAGTGATACAAAGATTTAGGTAAGCCTAGTATATGTTAGTAGGGCTTCAGACCAGTTTATTCTGGCACCTTAATTTTACGCCAGACCTTTTATCCCCCTCGAGGGCGGCCCCACGAGACTCGGCAGCCCGTGTGGCATCTCGATTCAGCCGCAAGGGAGTGATAACAAGGCAATTGGCCGGAAACCAATGATCGGCCATTGTCGCGCAATCCACATGTCTCATGCCGCCAGTTCTAGACTCAAATCCAGCTGGACGGGGAGTTTAGACGAAGGTGTGCCAGCTAAGACACCAACTTGCCACCGAGCTGAACAAACTATTGAACGCCATTGTTGGGACGGGGAGTTCGAGGCGGACCGTCGCGGTGGGCTAACGGCTCCTCGCCGTGGAGGCCTCGAAATCACGACATTTAAGCTAAGCGTTGCGAATTGGCGTTGGCTTGGCCTTGACAAGGGTGGTTAGCGTTGGTGGGAGATGTTCTCGACTGGGTTTGATGGGGCCGATCGGTTGCTGCGCTTTGGAGGTTATCTGATCGTGATTTTGGCTTCGGAGTGCCGCTTACGACATTCTGTGTACGTTGTTAATTTAAAAGCCATTCATGGTATTATTTCACATGGTCAGCTATGGCTGAGAGGTATTATTGTGGCTCAATGGATGCCGTTTTGCGGATTCACCCGACGTTTGACAAGATCCACGATGGCAACCACCGGGTATACCGGTGAGGTACACTTCCCAGACTCGAACGGTCGCCGGTTAATGGCATTTCTCATTCAGATCACCTCAATTTCCTGCAAGATTTCGTCTGTGGGGGTAAGCACGCATTAGTCTGTGATAAAACTCATCAGCCAAGCTAGAAAACCTAGGTTCTAGTGGTGAGAATTTGAGGCTGGAATTGCGACATCCGAAGCGACAAGGGTCAAAAGGAGGAAAACATGCTCGGATTATCGGTGCGGAGTCGATGAATGCCATCCCACGTATGCATGCTCAGTCAGACAAGAGGCTTGGTCTCGTGTTCGAGGAAGAAGCAATTATGGTGCCAAGTCGGCGAGCATGCCTTGTCGTGCTTGTCGTTGGTCATCGCGTACTGCTTAAGCTCTTAGCATGGGGGTGATCTCTGCTCGTTTAAGCTTATCGTCTCATCAAGACAAGAATTCCGTCATTCGGAACTCGTGGAATTGGACGGTTGGACCGATGATTCCGACGCTAAGAGGATGATTTCAAGGGTTGGTTGGCCAGGCGCAGTATCCACAGAATAAGGCTTGGATTAAAGTAAGCTTAAGAAATAGCTTATTTCAGTCACATCCATGTGATTATATGCCCCAGAGACATTCTCCCTCACTCTTCCGTCGTATTTCTGATGTTACTAACGGCTGTGATGAGCCGTTTTTAGCATTCCACGTTATTGAACTCCCCGCCCGGATTGTCCGTTGTCATTTCCCTTGGCATTCTTACGCCAAGTGCGCCGAGCGAAAAGTTTCGGCAGCTCTAGCGGGGAGTTGATCTGGGCTACTGTGATAAAGTTCGACACCATGCACATGCAGACGCCTCGCCGGGGGATGGTGGTGACCCAGGATGATGATTGGACTCTCTTTGATTCGGTGAGTCATTTATTTTGCTCGCAACCCCCACAAGGTGGTGACACTGGTGGTAATTGAGATAAGCCAAGATGTCTTGGGTTGGTTCGAGGACGGGGAGTTCGAAGAGTTACAAGGATGGGATGTTGATCCTCGACACGACAACCCATCTCTGACAGTGGTTATGGTTCGTTAGTGTCGCCACTGTCATTTTCTTTTTTCTGTCTAGCCTGTGTCACTTTATTGAGTTGGAGACACGCTACCGTGTTGTCAAGAGACTCGGGCGCCATGAAAGCCTGCCGCTGTGTTGTGAAGGTAGGGTGGCTTGAGGGTCGCAAAACTCAGTAGTTTTGTGAATTTAGATAACAATTTATAAAATTCACAATATACTTTAGGTAAAGACATCTAAGTTTTAATGAACTATGTAGATTCTTCCGCGAATTCATTAAGAATTTTAACATTCTCTTCATAAAAACCTTCCATTTCATTTGCCATATCGCCGACGCGCAGCCCCGGCACTTGAGGGGGTATTGCGTGCTCACTTGGCTTGCACGCCAAGACCATCGAGACCGACACCAATTCTAGCCCTTTTCCTCTTGGCAAAGGCTTGAGATGATAGAAAAGGGCGACGTTAGAACGCTTTTTTCGTCCCCGATGCAGTCTCCATCAGCATCTTTACCAGTCTCCAAAATGGGTAAACTTGACACAGTTTCATCAAAGTCCCACTCGGACTTCCCTCAGCCTCGAGAGGATGAGGAGTCTCTCACCCTTCATAAGGATTGGAGTTTGGATGAGGAGAAAAGAGCCAAGCGCAAGTAAGTCATCTTTTCATGTCAATTGAGCAATGCTGACTGGCTGTGTAGACTTGACCTAATTATCATGCCATTATTGACCTTGGGTTTCTTCTGCCTTCGTACGTCTTCCCAACGACGATCAAACCTCCTCATTTAACAATTGAGCGATTCAAACTAATAAATTAAAAATTAGAACTTGATCGAGGTAACATCGCCAACGCCCTGACTGACAACTTCATGGAAGATGTCGGCGTCACCCAAAACCAATTCAACGTCGGTCAACAGATGCTCTCCCTCGGCATCGTCCTCTTCGAAATCCCCTCGAACATGATTTTGTACAGAGTAGGCCCTGGTAAATGGTTGACTCTCCAACTATTCCTCTTCGGCACAGTCAGTACCTTCCAGGCCTTCCAGAACAACTACGGATCCTTCGTCGCAACACGATTCCTTCTCGGTATCACTGAGTCTGGATTCATCCCTGGCGGACTCTGGACCTTGTCGACATGGTACACACGCAAGGAAACAGCTAAGCGTGTCATGTTCTTCTACTTTGGAAACCAGTTTGGTCAAGCTTCTAGCAAGCTCCTGGCCTACGGCATTCTCCACATGCGTGGCGTTGGAGACAAGGCCGGCTGGTTCTGGCTTTTTGTCCTTATGGGAGCTTTCACTGTTCTGAGTGGTGTCGTTCTGGGCTGCTGCTTGCCTGACTCCTTCAAGAATCCCCGAAGCACATTCCTTCCTAACGTCAAGATCTTCAATGAGAGAGAATTACATATTCTCCAAACTCGTGTCCTTCTTGATGATCCTATGAAGGGCAAGAAGAAGAAGAAGATCGGCTTGGGTGCCTTCAAGAAAGCTGTAAGAGTCTCATCTACAACTATGATAGACACCCTCGACTAACATCGGCAGTTCTCCAACTGGCGCCTTTGGGTCCATGTCATCATTACTCTTACCAATAACGGACCTCAACGTGCTTTCGACACCTACTCGCCTTCTATCGTCAAGAGTTTCGGCTTCCAGGGTCTCACTAGTAACGCTCTGGCCTCAGTCGGTCTCTTCCTTCAGATCCCTGTTTCGTGGACCTTCAGCTACGTTTCTGACCGATTGTAAGTAGCCGTCAGTTTTTAAATATTCACTGCTAACAAATTTGTAGTAATAAGAGACCAGAGACTGTCATCGCGGGCTTGAGCATGCATTTGTTGGGTTACGTGTTCAACCGCATCTTCACAGAGCTCGGACGAAGAGGAGTCAGTTATTTTGGTGTTGTCTGGACTCAGACCTTTGGTACCTTCTCACACCCTCTTAACATCGCTTGGATGTCCCTTGCATGTGATGATTCAGAGGAACGAGCTCTCGCTATGGCCATGTAAGTGCCGACCCCTTCACACCACAGCAATCGAATTATCGCTAATCATAACCCTCAGGGTCATTATGGGAGCCAACATAGCAGGTCAGAAGGAACGAATCTTAATTATATCAGTAACTAACATCATCGCGCAGGTATCTATGGTGCCCAGATCTTCCGATCCGACGACAAGCCCAAATATCGCCGTGGCTTCACTATTAATATCGTTGTCCTCGCCGTTGGCCTCGCGCTTGCGGTCCTGCGTTTCTTCGACGACAAAATCTGGCGTCGCTCCAAGGTTGCCGAAATTCAGGAGCAGCTTGCTCGTGAAAACGGTGAACTTAGTCAGAGTGATGAGAAGAGTCAGAGTGAATCTGGGCAGAGAGATGACCGTACGCCTACGCTTGGACTAGAGAAAACATCTCCGGCTGAGCTGAACCCCATTGCCAAGCCTACCCAGTGATCCAATGTACTGTTGCTATCTTTATGTTAAGTCTTGGGTGAAGGTCTATGGATATCCTTGAATCTATTTAGATGAATAGCTAGCTTTATATGAAAGTCTTAAGAACTCATCTTCATTCACTAAACTTTACAAACTCGGGAAAATTTATACAATTCTATTTGAGAACTTACCATAATCACTAACATTAGCCTGACTTAACAGTCTTATAAATAGAGTTATAGCCCGTCAAGGACTTCTCTTCCAACTCCGCAAAGTCCTGCCCCCTGAATCTCTCGGGGTCAAGAGCCTCTTTTGCCTTGCCTTCCACTTCTTCTCCATCAATAATCCTTGTCAGAAACTTGGCTGTACCAGCTGCGTGCGTGACCCAGACCGCGACTGCCACGAACAATCCCTCGACTGAATTAACCTTTCCAGCCAGTGGCATATTGTCTGGTGTCATACTAAACACTCCATTGAAGTGGTTTCCATTTTGGAATTCTCGGGCTGCAGTAGGAGGGAGTAAACCTGTAGCAAAGTCGAGAGGTTGCTTGAACCAGTCTATCCATTCTCCTTTGGCTGTAGTGGTTGTATTCTCGGGCTTGTAGCCGATAGGCGCATGGTCATAACTCCCGATGCCGAAATTTGCACCATGATCCCGAGCGTAAACATGATGTTCAGGCCAGCGAAGAAACGGTATTTTGTGGGGAAGTGGTTCGCGGTGTTGAGCGTGCATATAGGGATGACCAACGGGGATGACGGGGACAGGAAACGGGAGGGTTGATGAGAGATCTTGAGCCCAGATTCCAGTTGTTATGATGACTTTAGCGGTAGTGAGATGACGTGATGTCTCATTCTGAATAACGTCAATGCCTGTGACGCGGCCGTCCGATATGGCGAGTTGCTTCACATCAGCTTCCACAAGGTTAACTCCACGCTTCTTCGCCTCTTTTTGATACCAAGTCGTTATTCTCACAGCATTTGCAGTTCCATCCTTCTCAAAGAAGACCGCCTGCCCTTGGCCGTCCTCATTGACCAACTCAGGTGCCAGGCCGTGTGCTTCCTTGATGCTCAAGATTCTGGCGTCCAGACCCAGCTTCTTCGCATCCTCACATCTCGCCTTTAATCGTTGGATACCCTCATCTTGGAATGCAATCTCCAGACCGCCAACTCTGTCGAAACCACCAGGAATTTTGACATATTCCGAGACAGTGTCGATCGCAAGTTTGGTGAGGATCTCAGACTCGTTGAATTGGCCGATGAATCCCGGGGCAATTCCAGATGAACCAAGAAGACAGGTGAAAGAACGGTCGATTAGGGTTATGGTTCTGGGGGTTGAAGATTGGGTGAGGAAATAGGCCAGGGCAGAGCCAACGATGCCGGCACCAATGATGATGACTGACTCAGTGGGTTGAGACATTTTGAGGTGATGGGTGTTTGGCTGCAGTAATGGATATTGGCCATATCTACAGCTATATATCATTTCGTTCAAGGCTTACACGCCCAGCAAACGTCAAGTCAGTCAAGACTCATGGCTCAAAGGGCGCATCGGGCCACCATCAGCCAATCAGATTTCCCAGACTGTCGCTTATCAACGACAAGTTGGCCCACTACACAGTACGGGGTTCACTCCATTTTTCAAGCTAGGAAGTCCACCAAAGAAATCAACGCGCCCTTGCAGCGGGGACCAAGATTCTGGTACGATGGCTCAAGCGAGAGTCGCCTTTGATCTTTGTATTCACGCAACTTTGCTAGCACGGATAGGTAAGCAATGCCGAGGGCGGCCATGGTCTTGATAATAATTACCCAGGAGGTCTGGCGTGAGAACCAAGACATCGCTGGGCTCAATTAGATGCACGCAAATGCGGGGAGCGAGACGCGAGGCCTGATACTGTGTCTTGGCAATGATGCTGAGTGAGATGTTAGCTTAGTTGTCTGGTCCGTTGTCAGAATTAAGCTTATATCGCACCCAGAAAGGCCACATGCATAAATGTTCAGTCTGGTGATCTATTGTCTATACTAGAAGAGGAACTTCTTTACTATGTAAATATGCCTTTGAGTTTCATGTCTGGGTAAGCTTAAGCAACACCTCTGAACTTGATATCATCACATCCGATGCCCGCAACCATGACCTCTTCACAGAGCGACATCAAATCAGCAATCGAGGCTACGGTGAAAAGCTATCTTACATCTTTCATCGACGCTCGTACTCGGAACAATCCCTCTCTGGTCAACCGAGACCTCACTCCAGACTGTGCACGGTCGATGCTTCCCTCCACCCTAGGCGGCGGTTTCACCATGACAAACGACGAATACCTTCACGTCTTCACCGAAGGTCTGAAAGTTGGCGGCATGCATAAAAATACCATCTCCGACTTGATCCTTGATGTTGAGGCCCGAAAGGCAGCTGTTACGACTGTTGCAGAGTTGGTGTTCAATAATGGGGAAGAGTTGAAGCTGGATTTCTCGTGGTTCTTGCATTTCAACGAAGATGGTGACAAGATTTGCAGGATTGTTGAGTTTGTCGATAGTGATACATTTAAGGGTGTCAAAGTAAGAGAGGCAGAGCTGAGTGGTGAGGCACAGAAGTATGCGTAGATAGCTTCGAAACAGAACTCTCAGAGCAGGTTTCTGAATTGATCCTTCGACATCAATGGTGCATTTCCTTTCCGTAAATATTCAAATCATTCATACCGCGGTTGTCATCCGTCTACAACTACTTGTAGAAAATTAAAACTTACATATATCAAAAGTCAAATTCAGTACAAGAGCACAGGTAAATAGCTACGTTCAAGAGCTTCACAAGGTCCCAGAATTCCCCTTGGTAAGTTTTTATAATCTGGGAGAGATTTCTAAGTGATAGATATCAATATCACGCGGTTTTCTATCACTTAGTTAGGAGCTCGAGCCAAGTATGGCTGGATCTAGGCTCATCTCAAAGTTGATTGAGTTTGTGACATAAGTAGATTGGAACTTTAGAATCCAATCATGTCTTTTAATGGAATTACTTTTCAGAATGCATCCGGATCTTATAGAATCCCGTGTGGGCCATCTGAAAGCTTCAAAGGTCCCCGAATCGACCGATGACGCGCCGTCATGACGCACTCTCGTTCAAAACCCCATACACTTGAGACAACGGCCCTTAACAGATAATGCTATTATCTGGGCCTTCAGGAGCACAGACGCCTCGGCTTAGAAATAAAGTTGAGCTATGGACGGATATATCCGATGTATCTGCGAAATAAGGTTTACTGAAAACCATTTCTTGTTTCAGGTGATAATTTTGGGATACTTGAAACCCTTCCAAGGAACTTTACTAGAGATCGCCATTCGTAAAGATGGATCTATAATTTTAATTAAGTTTCATGACAATTATAAGCTGCTATAACAGCAGGTCGGTCCGAGGACCAGACAGTTATGTGAAGCCTCATCAAGTTGCTTGTTCTCAACCACAGTCTTGTCCTTCCGTCTTTTCGTTTCCATCACATTCATTGTATGAAAGATGCTTCTATCAAATTTCCTTCCATTCGTTTTATGGGCCTGTCTGGGACAAGCCACATTGACCCCTCGCAAACCCTTCGACACGGCATTCTACGTCTTCAACGGTGCTTGGCCATGTTCACAAGATCAACTGAAAACAATTTCTGGGGCCATCGACGAGGCGCATGATCTTGCCAAGGCAGCTATCAATGCTCTTTCGAAGCCTGGCTCTGAGCAGTCGATCGCCTTCGACTCTTGGTTTGGCTCAAGTATATCTCTCTCCTGCAAGCATGGAAACTATTCTAACAACACTTTAAAGGCAACGGGACTCCCGATAGAAGAGACATCATTCTTGACAGGCACTTCCAAGCGGTTCTGGAGAATCTGGTGCCATCCACTGCCGCCGCCCAATTTCGACTCTCGCACAGCCCGTTCCTGAATCCCCAGCAAGGCTCTACTATCACGGAATCTTCTCTAGTCTACGCCTGTCCTCCCCCTTCCGAGCCCGTGTGCGATGGCAATACGGTGGCAGCTGTTCAAAGCGCAACGGGATCTCGGGCAGCAGTATTTGGGGCCACTCTTCTCGTTCTGTGTCCTGACTTCTTCGGAAACAAGCCTAGCCTCGATAGTGCTGTTCAATTGTGGAAGACGGAGCATACGCTTGGTGACAATCTGTCGCCTGGCTTCGCACTCGTGCATGAAATCCAGCATATGATACAGGCAACTGAATCAGAAGAGGAACGATGCGACGACTTGCAGGACCCGTTCGAGGATAACAAGGACTGTTATTCCGCTAGCTGGTGAGTCTGAAATTGAGGTTCTACAGCCTGTTGCTGATACAATCTAGCTGCTTCCGGCTTTCGGATGCCCAAAAGCTGAAGAACGCTCAGAATTACGCCATCTACGCACTTGATGTATTGGCTTTCCCTGATACTGCGGGATCTCCATCTTCGTCTTGCAATTTGCCACAGAAGCGTGAATCACCTTTCATGAACCTCTTCAAGCGTCAAGCACAGCCGATACCAGAATCTGTTTCACCTCCAGTGCAGCCTGCTCCTTTCCAGAATACTTCCGCAACATTCGTTACCCTCCCAAAGACTAGCACGGGACCTTTGTCCTCTGAGGTTCCCGTGACTCCTAGCAGTAACGTTACCACTCCAGGCGGGGTTCCTACAGAGCCGGTTACATCTGATAGCCCTATCACCACCTCTTTCATCGAGACCACGACCACGTCATCAGCAGCACCAACAACGACAGTCAGCGGTGGTGCCACAGTGGTAGTACCTGTCGGTGCAGTTGTTATTGGAGGACCAGGAGGAGGCTCTATCTCTGTTGGTGGAGCCTTGATCCCCGTTGCTGCTGGTGCTGTCGTAACAGCTAAGCCTGAGGATGGGGAGAAGCCAACAGACCCGGATGACAAGTCGAAAGAGCCTACGTCTTCTCCAGCCCCGACCTCAACTTCTACTGAGACAGAGTCGTGTAGCGCACCCACTACGACGGCGACGTATGGTTCAGAAGGAAATGCAGTCTGTAGAGATTTGTCCGGCATGACTGACGAGCAGCTCTTGCAGCTCATTCCCCAGTTCGGACAAGTCAGCTCCTCTGCTGAGCCTGTGCCAACCTCTACACCAGGTGCTTCTAATACTTCCGTCATCATCTCTGTCACACCTTCGCCTTCAACTTTCTTGACGACACTGTCTCCTAGGCCAGAAGCTCCGACATCTGTTGTAAATACGACTTCAATCCTAGTGACACTTCCAGCGCCGGGTGTCTCGAGTACGCTGGTGACTTTACCAAGTATACAGACACCTGTCCCATTTATTGGTGATACGACAAGCTGCAACCTGACAAATGATGCTGTGCCCGAATGCCAGAACTTGGTCAATGGGAAGAGGGCTTGTCTTTACTCTCAGTAAGTGAAGATCAGGCTCTGAGATGCCTCTGTCACTAACTCTACCATCAGGCCTAAAGGCTATTTGTGCGTTTCAAGCTGTCCTCGCGGCGATCCTTGCCCACAAACCTGCCAGACAATGAACTACAACGGTGGCTATTGCAGCAATGGGTTAGTTTTTCCCACGGACGAGGAAGTGCTCGTGACTAACATGGACTCTAGTTCACCTTCATGTGTCTGTTCTAACGATGATCCTACTGCTTGATCAAAAACCCTTGATTCTTCTCTCGCTTCTTTCTTGAAAATTACCTTTAGGGCTTCCAGAGATAATAAACTGTCAATAGTCATAAGAATACTACTCCGGACAAAGATTCTAAGCGGGGTACGGTGTATGATGTCAGCATGGGTCTATGGACTCGGAATAGCATTCCAAGCAAATCTCGACATGGATGTGGATAGAGAATGTAAATTTCTGTGCTATCATGTAGATTTCTGTCAGGGTACAACATATGCCCTACAGCCATCGTCTAGGGGCTTTGATGCCTTACTCCTGACTGGCCACGATCTCGACAGCTGTTCCTTCGTCATAGGCTTGTGAAACTGATTAGCCACAAGTATTCCAGATATTGAGAAGACTTACCGCCTGGGACATAAGAGAGAAGCTGCTTGCCGGAGAGAGCCAAGGGGCCGCCTTCCTCGTCAATAGAGTTGTCTACAATTATGTCAGAAATGCCAAACTAATAAGATCACGATATCACGAACGTGAAAATTTGAGCTGAGGCCCATCTTCCCCATCCTTCACTGTAACTGGATACATTTCCTGTGCCTGGTCCTTTCTTAACCAGACAACAGCCGAGGCAGGCACTCTGTTGCCAATCACCTTGCCTGCAAGCTTGCTGCAGCCCAAGGCCCAGTCACCGCTGACAAGAGTATTTCCCTGAAGTTCAAATGTGGCAGCAGAAGACTTTTCCCCGACTTCAGCGGGACGGATTTCATCGTGGTCATGCTCCGGCTTGGTTACGTGTTGGCCATTGACGATGATGACGAAGCGCTCAGGAAGAGAAGACATTTTGAAAAGTGATAGACTTTTAAAGTTGAAGTATTGTTGATAATCTCGTTGATAAATTTTTTTGGTGTGCTGAAGGGACTGACTTGAGATTATGGACAGGATGTGATGATATTTGTACTTGTCAAGAGTCCTTCACCAAATGAAGCAGTTGACCTCCTCATTGTGACACTGGATATTGGCAGAGCCGCAATGATCATGTAGCACCGATGTACCGACCACTAATTATCAGACGAGTTCCAAGAATATTCTACGGCTAGAGTCTGGTGGAACAATTACGAATTGTAATACACTACCGGTCAAGTTTCAACTGTTCATTCGGACCGAGGTACAACAGCGAATTGTTACAACGCCGTGGCGGTGAGTGCTTGAATTCTCTTCGGTAGTTACTACCGTGACCTCGTATGGACATTGTGAAAGATTGGACAAACCTTGGCTGGCCACGTAAGGCTTCTGTGCCCAAGCAATTTCCAGGTCCATAGATCATTACACAAACACCAGCTCCCCTTTCAACCACAAATGGGTTTCTTTTGAAGCACAGCCCTGGGGGGCTTCGTCTTCTCAGCAGGAATGTCCGCCAATATTTCAATACAAGAAGTTGAAAACAGCCTGGTTACGTACTCTGTCCTTCATATTGTAGTCGTAAGACTCCAAACGCGTACGTTTCTTAGTACCCAGCCTTTATACCGTGATCAGATGACGCTGTAGCGCATACCAATAACGCTGGCAACCAAGACAATAGCTTGCAGTTAACTTGACTTCTGCTTCATGCTCTCTCGATATTTCAACATCCATCTCGCCGACTGCGCCACAACAGCGTCGTGATTTGAAACTGGATTGAATCCCAATCACTTCCTAGCCTTTTCAATGCTATAAGTATGTGTGTAGACGCAATACTCAAGCGAGACTCTCCGTAGCTCAACTGGAGGCTTAGCCGTATTGAGAGTGAATATCCAGAATAGCCACTCCGCCAAAATGACAGCCACTATCATGACCCAAGCAGGAAGAACTATGATATCCTTGGAGACATCTTCACCTCTTGCTGTTTTCCAGATAACTCTTGTATGATGCCAAAACGGCACTGGAGCTCCATCGGAAACATTGAAGGCTTCTCCATCGACTTTGCCAGATGCCTGACTTGGGTCTAGAAGAGCTTTTGCAGCGAGAATATGTGCTATCGCATTGTTCTCTCCGGATACGACTTCCATGAGATTCTTCCCGTCTCCGATCTGCACGAGCTTCTTGTTCTTGCACATATCAAGAACTTCAACCATGCCTTGAACATGTCTCTCTCCATAGGCGTGACCAGGCCGTAGAGTGACGGTGCGTAGCCGTGGGCTATTAGCTTTCCTGACTAGACAATCGCCAATCGCTTTTGTCCGATTGTACTCATTCGACTTGTCGTCGGGTGACCAAAGAGGATACGTCTCGTCAGCATTTGTATGAGGCGGGTTGGCATACGCGTCCACGCTAGAAGTAAAGACGAATGCCTGAACAGCATCGCATTCGGAGGCTGCCGTAAGCAGGGCTTCAGTACCCTTGACGTTTGTCGCGTAAAATTCGCCTTCACGGCTCATAGGCAACGCTGCGAAGGGAGAAGCGCAGTGAAAAATGACAGTAGGTCGAATCTCGTTGACTACACGTCGCACAAATCCACCATCAGAGATATCTCCTTTAATGTATGACACATTTTCGTGTCGGTTTCTGGATATGTCGCGGTCCAGAACGTAAACCTCACCGCTTTCGTCATCTTGCATTAGCTGGCGAACGAGATGGAAGCCGAGGAACCCGCAACCACCAACGATAAGGCTGGAGCTGATGATGGGTGTCGAGATCTTTCTTATGTCAGACATCATTCAGATTCTGTTGTTAGGAGTGGTAGGTTGTAGAGAGAATGGTGTTGTATTCTGGGTTGGGCGATCATCTTCAGTGGTTGTGCCGCGGCTGCTTACTCCGACGGATCCGTTGTTACATCGCCATCCAGCGAATCTCTGCCAATCTCCGACGGATCTGAGACATCCGACGGACCATGTAAAAGGGCACCAATTCGTCTCTAGGTAAACGATATGACATTTGTGGTGTCCGTTGCTTCTCCTCCGTTGGCTCGAGAATCTTTCCCAATCGTCGACTCCCGTTCCTCGAGCAATGAAACTTGATCAGTGCAAAGCCGATATGTGAGGATAACGTAGTCGCGATTGGTCTGTTGGTATGCAAACACTGTCCGATCGGTGACACCAATATGCACTCGGAGCCAGTCTCTGGGGGTCATTTTCAGCACCTGGACTCCCCCTAAAATCCTCTTAGAAAGTCTAGACTCCCAGTGGCTATATCCAGGAGCGTTCAATAGGAAAACCCATCTACATATCTCTTGCAATTCCCACATTTCTTGAAACTACTCCTTCTTGTCTTGGACGAAGAATATTAGTAAGGAGCTTCAACATGGAGAGTCCGTGAGTTGCCTTCTTTATTGCCCGGATCATACTATGCTCCTTTTTAATAATTGTAGAAGGTCATCAGGCTATAGCCAAAAGATGGCCTCGCCAGGTTGAGATCGCTCTGCAGGGTGGATTCTTGATTTTGTTGATTTTTATTATTATACCCGGGTCCTCCGCGGCTCTTGGAGAAATAGAAGCCGTCATGCGGGAACCAGATCCGACCTTCTCTTCACTTCGAGAACCTTTTAGATCTAATTTTAGCGTGGGAGCTGTCTCAGCAAGTCCATTTCCCAAAACTTTCCGAGCCGTGAGCCATCTGTTGTGGCTGCCATAATCTTATCAACTCCCTCTGCGCTATCGGGCTTTTCGTTAAATGCTTTCCTTATATGATTTGGCGCATACCTAGGACGTGAATATACAGATAGTGGTTCCTGGATATGAAAAGTTCGGCTCGCTGGGGATACTGATCACTAGCATTGCAGAAGGTATAGAGTCCTAGGCTCAAAAAGTAGCTAGCATGTATATAATTCCCGAGAAACCACATTCACAACATCTCCCCTGTCTTCTTCTTCTACCCGTCCTTCGCGTTTTAATAATACGGGCCATATTCTGTGCGTTCGCTGGCTCTCTGTCTAACGTTGAAAAGTTGACCCGAGAAGTATGGAGAGCCACTTATCTCTGATCTCTGATTCGTCGACTCGTATGGGCATGTCTAGAATCTGACATCGTTGCATCAGATCAGGCTTAGTGTAGGATCCTTTCCAATAAGGGCGGGTATGGCATCCAAAAGGCAGGGCCGCTTTTCCAACTCATCCATCCTCTCATCTGCAAAGTCTTTCAATCCAAGACCAAATCTCGTATGGGCATCTTCCGTCAATATGACTCGTGTAAAACCAGGACAAAGACAGCGTGCTAGAGCGCCGAAAGTACGGACTGGCTGTGGCACTTGCAAGTGAGTTCATTCTAACTTGCTTGCAGACGAGTGCGCATAAGGAGACTAACGAACTGCAGGAGTACGTACTGTCTTCTAGTTCCGATTTGTGTGTTTGTTGTTCTAACTGAAGTAGTCCGCAGGGTCAAATGTGACGAAGCTCGTCCAGCCTGTACGAGATGTATGTCCTCCTGCCTAAATCGCGACAAGGGTCTGCGACTGACTGGTTTATTCCAGGTACATCTACTGGTCGGAAATGTGATGGTTATCAGACCAACACACCTAGCCCCCCAGCTGCCTCATCCCCGTCGGCTGTGTCCTCCCCAACCTCTGTCATCTCCACATATAGCACTCAACCAGAGGCACGATCATTCCAGTTCTTCATCGAAAAAACCCTGGTAAACTTCCAGACCTTTTTCGAAGATGATCTTTGGAATAGAAGAGTTCTCCAAGTAGCTCAGTCCACAGACTGTATAAGACATGCTATCGTCGCCTTGGCCTATTATCATGAGCTCTATCTTACTCATGAACAGTGGCGGAGTCTTGAGTCTGTTTCGGCACTGAAACACTACAATCTTGCTATCAAGGAACTTCTCAACCCATCACCTAACACTTCATCACAAGGCCATATCCTTGTTCTATCATGTTTGATTTTCATCTGCATTGAGGTAACTTATTTCCTACTGCTATGCTTAATATATGCTGACCCATCTCAAGCTTCTTCATGGAAAGACTGACTCAGCCATTGGTCTATTCCGCTATGGCTGTGCCATGATCCAGCAATTCAGAAGAACTTTCTCAGCCAACAGAAGCCACGGCTCCCATGCCAAGTCTGACGTCGAAGCGACCTTCAGTCTTGCTGATGCCTGCTTCAGACGCATTGCGGTGCAACTTCTTATGGTATGTTCTCATCATATGTGCTTCCGTAACCTTGAACCTCCACTAACTTCTTAAGCTCATGGGGGACGTTGATGTAGGTATTTGGCCATCATATCATGAGACCTTCAGCAATGCACTTCCGCCTCCTGAAACATCATTTTCATCCCTTTCTGACGCAAGAGAAGCCATCCTGGAGCTCCTTGTTGAACAAGCCAGTCCTGGTCTGAAGGGAAAGCCAATCTACGAAACAGTCTCACACGCTACAAAGGTCGAGCAGTGGGGCCAGTCGTTTGATAATCTCTTGACTGAGCTTAAGAACAGTGGCAAAAATTTGAGTATTAGTGAACAACGAGCAATCGCCCTGCTGCAGCTTCATCGAAAGTACCTGGAGATTAATGTTGCAAAGTACCTGCACGGTCAAGGCAACCCTTGCTTTTGGGATCGTTTCACCACTGAATTTGACGAAATCGTCAACTGCGCGGCCACAGCTGCCGGACTTGACAAGAACTACACTCAAAGAAACTGGGTTAAAGACTCTCCCTCGGAGGCATATTTCCACGTCGACCTCGGGTACACATCAGTTCTAGTTTCAGTCATAGCACGATGTCGCGATCCAACCGTTCGAAGAAGAGCTATCGCAGTCATGCTAGCAGAACGTGTACAAGAAGGAGTGTTTAATGGAACCCAGTCAGCCAGAGTAGGGGCCAGAGTGATGGAACTTGAAGAGGCCAGGAGTGGAAGAGAGGTAAGATGTAGCAGCGATATACCCGAGGACGCTCGAGTAAGAACTATTCGTGTGCATTTGCTAGGGCCTGAAAATAAGAAGGTGAAGATGGTGTATGGGTTTGACCAGGGATATTGGGAGGAGGTTAGAGAGATGGCTGAATAGACGCTTGAACAAAGCTAAATATCAAGACCTGGATATTAAAAGACTGCGATAAGAGTTGAGCCTGTTGAGGAGGTCAACAACAGATGAATGCCCAATGGCTTAGGAGCAATTATCGTTTGTGGTTGGGGGAAAGAGAAGCGAGTACGAAAATAAGCACAGTAGGGTCCAATCAGACGAGTTTATGGATGATTCATCTTGAAATGGTCCGTTTCTGGTTAGTGCAATCTCCATCGAGGCCATTTAGAGACCTGCCAGCAAATCACATCTCTCCTTCAGAATCACTCATCTGCAGCTCCAGAGTCATAAATAATGAGGCTATCCTCAATAAAGAAGTCGACTCATCTCGATTCACCAACTTCATCCATATAACAAGCGCATCGAACCCGCCATTCTCTTCGACTTCATCACCATTCACTCCAACTTCTCCAACGTCGTACATATGAGTCTAACATCAACTCTCCTACCAACTTCTACAACTACAACCTCAGCAATGGGCAAATTCACAATCCCCAAGTGCGCTACAGGCCTGCGCGAAATCGATCCTTCGCTACTAGATCTCCGCCCCGAGTCTGAAATCATCGCTCAGCTCCAAACATATCAACCCATCACCTCGGAGAAGAATGTCTGGGCAGTATGGGACAAAGGCTTCTACGCCATGTACCCCAGCCATCAACAGACAGTGATCAACTGGGTCAGACGCCTCGGTCCTTCTTGGACCGTCCGTCTGGTAGACTTCGTCGAAGGCTCGCCTAACAACATTTTCAAGTATGTTGGCAAAGAGTGGTTTCCAGAAACCTTTGTCAATAAAACCATGGATGGAAAACATGCACCTCAACATGCAGCGGACCTTGCTCGCTTGCCTCTTATTTACGAACATGGAGGAGTTTGGATGGACGTTAGCAATATGCTGCATATCCATCTTGACACGCTGTTCTGGGATCACATTTCATCACCCGATGCGCCTTATGAAATGGCCGCCTGGATTATCACAGGGCAAATTAGAGCCAAATGGGGTGACTTTGGCAATTTCATGCTCGCTGCTCGCAAGAACTGCGAGTTTATCAAGAACTGGCACAAAGGGTACAAAGAGCTCTGGAAGGGCCGAACCAATGTCGATGGATTTCACAAGCATCCTCTCATCGCTGAGATCGGTCTCGCTGAAGGCCTTGCAAATCCTGAGGATGAGAATCAGATCTACTTCATGACAGACTATGTCTCTCAGATGGTCATTGGTGACCGCACCCGCAACCTTGTCGATTACATCACCGGCTTCGACGGTCGTGAATTCTGGGAGAAGAAGGTCTTCATGGTAGAGGGCATCGAAAACGGTATTCTCGGTGCTCTCAAGACCAACCTCGACGGTCAAAAGCAAGCCGACTATTTCCTCACCCGCCTTGATGAGCCCGATCTCGACAAGAGAAGTGAAGCCGAAACGTTTATGATGGAGATGCTCGAGAAGAGTCACATGTACAAGATGTATCACAACTCAATGGGTGATCGTCCAGCTTTAGGCGATCTTGTCAAAAAGAAGGAGAATCACGATATCACACATCGTCCTGGGACTTTTGGAGAGTTGTACCGATACGGAACTGTGCATTGGGAACCAACCAGAGAGGTTGTGAGATTGGTGCCACAGAGAAATGGAGACGAAATTATCAAGGGCACTCCTACGAAAACTGCTTCTCAATTCAGCATTAGTATACTGGAGAGGCAAAGACTCCACGATATGGACGGGTTATATACGGCTTATTAGAATAAAACGGTGCTATGTTGCCAAACCTTTCTTTCGAGTTATGCTTTGCGATACTTTTATAGTCATATCTACATATTTTCCAATTACTATATATACCAATACCTCTAACCTTTCATCAAACTTTGAGCTTTTGGGGAGGTGCAGTCTTCCATATCTAGTCCGCCGTCAGGATCCAATAACAAAAACACCAGAAAGTAACTTACATAGATTTCTATCCCAGTAGCATTGATAAGAAAACCTAGCCAGCCTCCGACAGCATAGCCAACTCTCAGAGCAGCCGTGATACCAGGCAAGTCATTCAAATCCCAATTTGTCGTCACAAGCGCTTCTTGCAGCGGGTTCTCGCCTGAGATGTATGCTGCACAACTTGGATATGGGTTCTGCCTCGTTCCAGGGAAGCTTTCGTGTAGATACTCGATAACTGTGCATGGCATGCTCATGGTAGTCGACCTTGAAGGGTGGCCAATAATGTGAGCTAGCGATACCAGAATGAATCTCATGGTGATGATTGATGTTGCCTTTTGCAAGTCAGTAACGTTAGGTCTTTAGTTGGCGAGGTGCTCACCCAAAACCAGGCCCTCAGCATCCAAGCACGGTGCTTCTCGATCTCTCTGTTCTTGATACTGACATAGCCCTTCACCGCTGCAGTAGTGACCAGCGTCGCAAGAGTCCACGTTCCTATCCTATTCGACAATATGCCTCCCATGGCTTCACTCTCAATGATCAATGCTGCCACTGTTCCCAATGCCGAGAGTACCAGAACTACGTATCCATTCACGCGGTGGAACTTGATATACTTCGGTCTTCGGAGGGCCGGTATGAATTGGAAACACACCAGAGCACCCGCGGGTAAGAACGTCGCCAGGTGTAACAGCATGCCAGACCGCATGAGGCCTGGTTTCTGAAATACGTAACATTCTCCAGGTACCGACCATGGATCTCCTTTGGCGCAGAATACACCGTCGATGTTGATGTATGGAAGCTGAAGAGTCGAGAAGAGAAACAAGATTCCCGCGAAGATGCAGAATAGGACGAATGAGGTCGTGTTTGTAAAGCCAAGGCGAGTTTTGAGAGCAGCCATTTTCGTGACACGACAATTGAAGCCTTCCTCAGACTTCGTCGAAGTCTCTCGAGAGTCTACGTATTCATCTGAGAAATGAAAAGAATTGTTGTTTGTGGTGGGCTGGTGCTTACGTGTGTTTATATTCCGCGGGAAATTTGATGCTATACTCTTTCTGGTCCTGAAGGATTCATCCGCCTATTCCTGGCCTATTACATCGAAGCGATCACGAGGATGAACAGGGGTTTACGGCAGTCAGGGTCTAATTAGAGACGACCTTATTGGCTGGTAAGCTTTCAAGGACAGTCGGGATTCCGCGCGTCTGCGTGAGTATCAAGCTATATCGGTGGTTACTCTATTGGGATCAAGGTTCCTTTCGCCTACATCGGCGGTATATCATAGATATTTCCCCAAATAGCCGTAGTCAGAGACCCTAAATCTATGCGTTGAAGTCTTATCAACGATCCAAAAGCAACCTGACTTGATCGAACCCCTAAGAACATATCTAGCCCGCATTGCTATCCTCTTCAACCTCTTCAGACAGCTCACGAATACTCTGGTGCTTCAACTGCAACCTCTCAGCTTTCACGCCAATGTCAGCCAACCTAACTGCTTTCCTGAGCCGCTTTCCCAAAATCTGCCTCAACGTGAATGTCCAAGGTCGCATCTTTGAGCTAGAATCGTTTCAGTTATTATTCACCTTTCACACGCGGAGCACTTACCATCTGGAGTCCAGCCTCCGAGTTGGTTCCCTGCAACCTGACCATCATAGGAACTTTCAAGGGGCCCAGCTCGCTTGCTGCTGCGATGATGGACTCTGCAATCATATCGCATCTAGTGATTCCTACTACTGTCAGTTCATACTCATACCTTGGGAACAAACATACCGCCGTAGATGTTGACCAGAATCGCCTTGACTCTTTTATCAGACATGATGATCTTGAAAGCCTGCAGCATCGTCTCCTTTGTAGCTTGACCCCCAGCATCAAGAAAGTTGGCACTCGAACCACCATACAGACTAATCGCATCATTCGTCGCCATCGCAAGTCCAGCACCATTAACCACATTTCCAATATTTCCATCCATATGAACATACACCAGCCCATGTTTTTCAGCTCGCACTTCCTCTGGGATCTCCTGTCCCTTATCCCTCAGAGAAAAAAGCTTTTGCTGTCGCCCCCGTGCTGCGTCGTCAAAGAAGAAATCCGAATTGTTGCACATAAACTTTCCGTTCTTGAGAAACAAAAGATCTGTTTCCAGACTGAGCGCTTCATTCTTCCGAAATATGCTGAAAAGGCGTTGGATGACTTCTCTCAAGCTCTCCTTCGAGACCTTGCCTAAGTGGAAGCTCTGCGCTATGTCGGTGAGTAACTCGTCAGTGATGCCGGTGCTCAGGTTGAACTCGAACACTTCCTGAAATACAGCCTCGTATATGACATTGGGAAAGCCCTGGTGATGCTTGGCATCTTGAATCTTGATTATCGGTCGATATCTTTCCCGGTCAACAGCCATAGTGAGACGCCACTTCTCTTCATGTTCCTCAATCTTTTCCAATAGACCGGAATCTTCAGGTCCCTGTGGTCTTTCTGTCCAGTGGCATCTCGGATATAGCGTGGTAGTGCTTTTATTTGACCTTTTCCATATGTTTTGTCTGTTATTTCTGAGAACTTTCGTTCACCATGGATGCTTTGAGGCTTTAGCAGTGCATGAAGGTTTTCAGATTGGACATTAGCATGATGAACCAAACGATGTTTGTATCTTGTAGCTTACTTCCTCCGCCTGCTATACGTTGCATCATTTTTTCCCCAGCTCGCTTTGATCTAAAGAGAGCACCCATTGGAATGGGTATTCCTTCCTAAGTAAAATGCCTTAAGCTCTCCGCATTGCAATTCCATAACTGAAGCCTCGACTTACTTTTTTCATGAGCTTCTGTGACAAATATTCGTGTATATGTAGACATCTTGTCTGAGCCTGACATTCCCTTAGCAAGTAAGCGCAAAGGTTGGGGGACTATCAGTACAATGACCGTGTTCGAGAATAAAGGAATTTTTCGCAGCTGAGGTCTAAATCTCAGAGCCATGGCGTTGCAGGAAGAGAGGCTTCTATAAAAATAACAAACACCACAATCTCACAATTGATGATCTTGAAAAACGTTGCCGAGGCGATCAACGAGGGGTACTGGGACGCTTCTTAGTCACGTGTCGCCAGCAAACAAGCCCAATCTTGCTGTCACCAACTTCAATTGACGATGCATCACGGAGGAAATACGAAGCAAAACTAGCAAGCATTCAGGTTGAGCAATCATAGGTGTCAAATCACAGGCGCCGCTATCGATTTTTGAGTGAGGGGCAGATTTGCGCGAGTAGAAAAGCGTTGTATAGGACGTCCAATTGATCATCAGTCACCGACATTGAGAACTTCAAACTGAGAGCACTTCAGCATACAATGCATCTGTAAATTCATGTCTATCATTTTCGCCAAGGTATAGTTCATTTTTAAGCACCCAACGCCGACCATGCAGTCTAAAAAAGCCTCATTATCTCACATCCTACGTAGATCTAAGCCCATAACCCCCAATCCGTGGGACCGTCTCCCAGTCTAAGCCTGATATTGAACTGCGCCATCTAAAAGTTGGTCACGTCGCTGACCCCGTTGGTGGCCTCCTTCTTCACGCGAGCGGCCTCGATGATCTCGTCGAGGCATCCGGAGCTGGCGGCGACAAGACCGAGCACTAATACAGTCAGTCATGGTGGGCGGTGATCAGCAACATGGGGGTACTCACGCGAAGGCGCGGGGGCCAAGGTCTTGGACTTGTACTCAGGATGAGCCTGGAGGCTGTTGACGGTCAGCAATAGTCGATATAAGCGATGGATAATACTCACCCAACAAAGAAGGGGTGATCCTTCAGCTCAATGGTCTCAACTCGGACACCTTGGTCATCCATTGAAGTCAAGGAAAGGCCAGCCTTCTCGAGATCCTCAATGTAGTCGGGGTTCACCTCATAGCGATGTCGGTGACGCTCCTCCACAACATCGGCTCCTCCGTACAGAGCCCGGAGCTTGCTCCATTCGGTGCCAGGCTTGAAGTGGGTTGTTCGGCTGCCAAGTCGCATGGTACCACCCATTTTCCTGTTATTTATTAGCATAACTTCCTTAATTCACGACATGGACTTACTCCTTGGAGCCCTCAGGCATGAAGATGACAACCTTGTGCTCAGCGGTGGCGGAGAACTCCTCTGATGTCGCATCCTTGAGGCCCATCACGTTACGAGCGTACTCAATGACAGCAGTCTGCATACCCAAGCAGATGCCGAGGTAGGGGAGCTTTCGCTCACGAGCCCACTTGGCGACATCAACCATACCACGGATACCTCGAGTACCGAAACCACCAGGAACAATGATACCCTGAGCTCGAACAACATGAGCCCAAGCCTCGTGGAACTTTCGGGGATCCTTCTGCTGCATATCGGGTTCTAGGTGCTCGGAATCGACGGAGATAAGGTTCAGCTTGCGCTTGCATCGCATAGCAGAGTGCTCAAGTGCCTTGTGAACACTGAGATACGAGTCGTCAAGACTGACGTACTTGCCAACCAAGACAATGTTGACGGGTTCGAGGTGTCGATCGGGGACAACGGTCTTCTTCCAAAGGTCCCAAAGAGCTTGGCCCTTCTGAGCCATAGGAGGAGCAACCTCAAGCTTCTCAAGGGCGAGACCCTTACGCAGAAGCTTAAGTAGACCCTCTTGTTCGAGGAGGAGAGGGACCTGGTAGATGGTGTCCATGTTGCGGACGCCAATAACCTGCTCATCTTCGACTTGGCAGCTTCGGGCGATCTTTGTAATGGTAGCGACGTCGAGTTCTCGTTCGCAGCGGCAGGCAATCTGGAGACGTTAGGCGCGGACTGGTATTGGATTGCGAGGAACATACCACATCGGGGATCAAACCGGCGCTTCGAACTTGTCGGATGGCATGCTGAGTGGGCTTTGTCTTCTCCTCTCCATTGATAATAGGGACGTAGGAAACGCTGATGCTGAGGAAGTTGTCGCGGCCGAGTCTGTGTCGCAATTGCTTTGTAGCTGTTAGTATTGAGCTTCGGGATGGGCCTGGGTTTCATACTGAAAGGGCCTCTACGAAAGGACCGGATTCGAGATCGCCAATTGTTCCGCCCTATCGTTAAGTCAGTCGCCATGCCAAGCAATCGGTAATCGGTAATCGGTAGGAGATCGTACAAGCTCGACTATGGTGGGTTAGCGAATGTCGCGTAAAATCTGGCTCAGGGAAGACGTACTGATGCAAACATCTGGCGATTCACCAGAAGCGTCAACTGGAATCTTGGCAACGCGCTCGATCCAGTTCTGAATGGCATCTGTGATGTGGGGAACGACCTCGAATGCTGTTAGACGGATCTACAAGATGGTAGAGCTTCGCAATGTACCTGAACAGCTACGAAATCGTTAGCATCCGCATAAAACAACAATTCCAAACGTAACACATACTCTTTCCCAAGTAGTCTCCACGTCTCTCCTTCTCCTATACATCAATTGTATTAGTGGTCGTGGATCGCGTATTGAATATTCGTGAGGATTCGTACAATGACCTGCTGGTAGATCTTGCCAGTAGTGATGTTGCTGTCACGGCTCAATTGGATGCCAAGGTATCTGGAGTACTGTCAGCCCCTTGTCCAGCTTCGGTCAAGTCTTGTTGTCGAAGAACATACCGCTCATAGTTTCCAAGATCGAGATCGGTCTGAGGGGTCAGCGCAAAGTTTTTCGTCGGTGAGCATTGAGCGTACCTCGCCGCCATCATCGAGAACGAAGCACTCGCCGTGCCTGGGATGTGTTAAAGGAAGAAAGGGCCATGGGATTGAGCCGCAACATACTCGAGAGGGTTGAGAAGGCCAGCGTCAGTGTTGATATAAGGATCCGTCTAGTCGAGGGTTAGAATCGTCGGTGAGGGAGGGTTTCGTTGGTGTGGTTTACTTTGATCGCCTGGAAACGTTAGTCAAAGCTCGTTCGGTGATCATGGTTGTCGTATCGTACCGTGACTCGAAGACCGAGAGTCTTGAGAAGAAGACCAGCGCTACTGGCTAATATTGGTGTCAGTCGTTGAGAAGATCAGCACAGCTAATCAATTGCCATACCGATAATGCCTGTGATTCACGAATTAGCACGCCCTTGGAAAGAATGCGACGGCGATAAGCTTACCTTTGCCGACACCAGAGATAACTCCGCCGCTCACAAGAACAACCTTCATGATGCCGTTTGTTCTTTCAATTGTTCGTTTATATAAAGAATAGAAACTGCTAGTATTGCAGGGCGGAGTTGCAGGGAGTTTTGTACGGCGCGTTCGCAAAAACTTCAATCAACGAAAAGAAAGATTCGGCGGTGGGGTACGATTTCTGCCACGCCCTGTGAAGCTCAGAACGTTGACCGCTTTCCAAATGCGGCTTAGAGATGACTCTGTGCGTCACGCCGTGGATTCATCCTGGTTGAGCCCCACCTGGCAGCCAGTGAACTGGTTCAACTGAAGCCATTCAGATATGGATGTGTTAGCAGCCTAAAGGTTAACGTTGTGGCCAACAATCAACTACTTAGAAGACATTCGGAAGATAGGGAGAAGATAGAAAGTATCACAAGCCATAGTAAAGGAGCCCAGAGCTTGCGTTGGGAAGAAGTGATGATCACAGTCAGGTACTGTTCCCCGCTGTATCTTGTGTGAACGAAGTCATTAAAGAACCCCAGTTGAATTCCGAAGATGGAAACTATATATCGTGCAACAAGCTCGAATTGACCTAGAAAGAATGCTACAGGATGAGTTCAATTTTTCCAGATAACAGACTCCCTCGCATCAACTGTTATACGATTAGAAAGCTCCCAATCGAGGTCAATTGCTTGGTGCATCTCTTGCTACAGGTTAGCTAGCAATGGTGATTGTAAGGATCGCCAAATGGCGGGGTAGTTTCACGATCCATCACCAATTGACCTCAAAAGCAACGTACAATTACGTTGTTCAGCGGCATTTCGCATAAGGTCAGGTTTTTCTATGTAATATTTCGCCGCGCGCTTAGGTGGTTGAACGAATCAAACTCAGGATGATAACATCACAGATTTTGCACCATGTTCGTTCTACGACAAACATTCTCAGGATGGCGAAATGCTTCTCCACGTCCTCAACTCGTACAAGTCCATACGATAGAACAATACGGAACCTCAAGATAACAGACCAGACTCGAGTTATATACCAAGTTATGGCATTTGTCATACTTTTTTGGGTATATAGAAGAGGTCGACTAATTAATGGACGCCAATCGAGTAGGCTTCACAGGCCCAGCGGTGCGTACGTGACTCGACTCAATCCCACGCGTCACGAAGCTATCCCAACACTGACTTCCCACGACGTAGGCAACCATAAATGCAAAAGACACGATAAGCTATGGAACAAATGTTGTCGGAGGAGTCTCCCCAGACAAAGGTGGCCACACCTTGGCCTACCAGTCTTCAACACCGTCAAAGAGGTGAGTCACTAGCTCTCTCAATTGCCCAATGTAATGGCTGTCCCAGGCGATGAGGGAAGTCAAACCAGACGTCAGCGCCGTCTTTGTCCCCGCGAAATTCGCAGTCGCAGCCATTCTCGAGGCCATTGAAGCAGAGGTTCCTCTCGTTGTCTCAGTCGCAGAGCATGTACCTGTTCACGATATGCTTCGGGTTCATGAGGTCTTGAGAACACAGTCCAAGACCCGGCTGGTAGGTCCTAATTGCCCTGGCATCATCTCCCCGAAACAGTGTCGTGTAGGCATAATGCCCCACAAGCAGTATACTCGCGGCTGTGTTGGTATAGTGTCCAAGTCAGGTACTTTGAGCTACGAAGCTGTCGGGTCTACCTCACAGGTTGGCTTGGGACAGAGTCTCGTTATAGGAATGGGAGGCGATATGCTACCAGGTAAGCTTCATCGCACGAGTTGACATGCCATTAACACAGGACAGGCACGACCCTAGCAGATGGACTGAAGCTCTTCTTCGATCATGACGAAACCAAGGGAATCATCGTCATTGGAGAGATTGGGGGCGAGGCAGAGCTCGAAGCCGCGGAGCTCATTAGAGAACATCGCCGCACGTCCCCAAGACCCAAACCTGTCATAGCAATGGTAGCAGGGCGCACGGCGCCTGAAGGAAAGGCTATGGGACATGCCGGTGCGATCTGGAGAGATGGAGATGTTACTGCAGAGGCCAAGACTAAAGCCCTTGAAGATGCGGGGGCGATCATCGTGCCGCACCCCGGAGTTATGGGCGAAAGGATGAAGGAGTTGCTTGGGATGTAAGGTATTGCCTCATTAGGTGAGCCAGCGATAGAGTTTTGTGTTGAAGCATAGAGTGTACTTAGTGGTGTATACCAATAATAATTAACCATTCACAAAATAGTATCGCTTATCCGTATCCTGCATTGTATCATTTACCAGACCATCAAGCCGAAGGTATACCCAACCCTTTATCCAGTCCATCACCAAAACACCAAAAGGAAGCACCAAGATTATTTACTCCTTCTTTCCACCCAAGAGTCCGCCAACGGTGTTGCCAACGCCCTTTCCAACATCTTGTAATCCTTGGGCAGCACCCTGTCCACCACCGACAACAGCGTTTGCTGTGCTGTTCATGGCTCCAGAGCCTGGAACATCCTTGTTGACGTACCCGCCGTTCTCATCACGACCTTGTCGCTCAGCGCGGTTTACGCCCTCCTTTGATGCGAGGTCACCGACGGGTTGGAGAAGTCCTCCTTGGCCGACTTGACCAGCGGCGAGATTATGGACGCCGTCTTGGAGAGTGTCGACTTGTTCGACGCCAGTTACTTTGGTCTTGTCGAGGTTTTCTATCGTGAAGTTAGAAGGGAGAGAACGGGATGGGATGTAGAGATGTAGAGATCTTACGCTTGGCAGCATAGCTTGTCTTGTTATCCTTGGTGAACCAACGAAGATACATGTCCTCCATCCAAGGAACCCACTTCTCGTACTGCTCGTTATAGGTAGCCTTAGTCCACTCCATTGTGAAGAATATCAAACAAAATTATGTGGAATCTGCTGTATCGTTTATCGTCTGGTTTATCTTTGTCTCCCAGACTGGAAGACCGTGCTGAAGACACGACTTTATACACATTGCGCGTCTTGCTACGTCATCCACTTTGCAAGGATCTGAAACGACGCAAGGCAAATCTCATAGGCTGTTTCATTTCTTGGTGGTGGTGGTTGACCAAGACGCATTGTGATGCCATGCTGAGTCTTTTGGGTGTGGCGCGTGTCGCTCTAAAAACCGGTTCTCGTGGCGCCTCGACGTCATTTGGTGGGAGGACGACAGGGATGAGCCACGATGGTGTTTATTCTACGGTCCACCAATCAAAGAGGAAGAGAGCGAGATACTTCTTTTTGGGTGAGAAACCAGGAGTCACTGAAAATGAAGTTGATTGAAATGAATTTCTCCATTCTTAGAAGCCAGGATACCTGCACTTCGCCACGAAATTAAGAAGACTACCCTCAGGAAGCAAGAAAATACCGGACCTTAATATAGGGTGTTAAAATAAACTTAGTAAAAGATATCCTCAATTTATGTATATTTACCTGAGCCTTATTGTCATCTAGGATGAAGTTGATTAATTTCTACTAGTCCTGAATATATATTGTGATCAATGCTGATCGACGTCTGTTGCAAGTCGGTTTTCGCCATATATCACACGGTCAGTCCATTCTGCCAATCCCATTAACGTCTTCAGATCCGTCTTCCGCAACGATAGAGCCACCGTCATTTCACCCTCCTTCCTTCGGGGCATGAAATACACAAGACCCTCTGATGCAGGCCGATGATATGGAACCCTAATACTCCGGATATTCCAGGAGCTTGATAGGTTAAAATCCGAGCTGGTGCTTTCAATTTCGGCCCAGGAGACTATAGCAACATCTTGCTCAGGGTTGAAAATCGCGTCTGAAATAAAAGCCGGGTTGCCGATTGCTGTGCCCGTATTAAACATGAAATGTTCCACATCCCGACTGAGTGCGTGTGGAGATGAGGCCTTGTGTAAGTCCCTGGCTATTGTCTCGATACTCATAGTGCCCGGGTTGGTATAGCTATTGCATGTCATGTGTTGAAGTGCCCCAAGATGTTCCGCCTCCGCTGTTTGTGTTCGGGCTCCACGTGCATCGACCGTACGAAAGCATCTCGCTGTCCACCCCGAGGTGAGTCGGCGGTCCCTTGCACAGCATATGTTTCGGAAAACAAAAGCGGAAAAAGCCTGATCAATATCCACATCCAAGAAGGATTCTGAGGGGCTGTCACAAGTCAAGGCCAAGTCCTCGATGTATTGCACAGCCTTTCGATCAAACGTGAACAGAGCCCAATCAATACCTTTTGCCTCATACGATTGGCTTTGGGTTGACTGAGGAGCCGACACAAATTTGATAGGGATTCTGTCATGCCTTGGGCTCTTCTTGTCATTGTTAAAAAACGCCGCGTTTTTATGTATTGACTCAACAACATCCGAGGATGGAAGCTTTTTCTGACGACAGGCTTCAGCCAACACTCGAACCATCATAATTAGGCCTGCTCTGTCGACGACTTTGCTGCTCATACTGATGGTGAGGATATCAACGCCTAGTTCGCGGGTGAACTTTAACTCCATCACAGGAGAGGGCTTTGAGTCCGCCAAAGGCTCCTGTATGGGGACATGACTCTCGTTGATCCAATGCATGGGAAATTCCTCGCCTCTTCTACGTCCGAAATCCGTTGAGGAGGTCTTTAGAAGATTCTCGACTTGCAAGCAAGGCACCTCTCGAAAAGGGATTATCTTGTATTTATTGGCTCCTTGATCCGTGCATCGTTCATGTTGGACTTGGCCGGCGACCCAGGGAAATTCTTCCGAAAGGAGTGCCAGGCCCTCGCGTATGTGGGAAATAAACTTGGGGTATAAGTTGTTGGTTTTGGAGTAGTAGACCAAGCAGAGGCTGTAATACTCTCCGACATCGACTCTGTTGGTCAAGGGGTTGATTTCGACGTCTAGATCGATCATTTTGTATTGTAAGTTTGCTGGTACCTGTGTTGTGTTGATGCTGAGTTTCTAATTGTGAGAGGAGTCCTGAGCTCATGATATTGGCGAAGGAGAGTGAAAGAAGGGAAGGAAAATATACAGAGCTTCTCATGGCAACAGCAATGCAGTCTTTAAAGCAAGTGCAAATCTATCAGACTACAGGTAGGAGTGAAAGATGGGGTGGTGGCTTCATACTGCCGTTCTAGATGGTGGTCTAGGTAGGGGAGGAAAGAAAACTTAGGATCTTGATCCTAAATAATAAAAAGACTTAAATAATTTTATATAAATTCATGAGATCTTTTAAGTCTTTTTGTCAATTAGGATCAAGGTTCTAAGCTTTAGATATCTTTTGCTGGGTTTATTTTAACACCCTAAACTAAATCAAGGTCCGGTATTTTCTTGCTTCCTGAGGGGGGCGCACACACTGTCACCTCAAACCATTTCTTCTTCACTACAAGCTGTGACTGAGAACGGCCAAGTCACGCTGGCAAGGGACTGTCGATCCAGTAACTTGGTATTTATTTAGTGATTATTAATTTTGCTATAAACTTGTAATGTACCTGTTGAGTTTCCAAGCATCTCAACCAAATCAAGGAATGTTTTAGTAAATCAGGTTCTGTTCCATCAGCCCAGCAGGGTCCGTAAATCACTGCCAAGTTTCATGTGATACCAACACATCCAATCAGCAGCGCCAACATAAAAGAGTGACACACTCCTAACCGCTGGTTCGCTCATTCTTACCGGCGTGAGCCTCAGTATCAATGGTAGTCTCGGGGTTGTTGGCATAGTCATCCTCACCACTGAGCTCCTCAAGAGTCTTACGGGCAGTCTCAGGAATTAGAAGAGTGGTGAAGATACCGAGAAGCATGAAGAGAGCGTAGATCTCAAGGACGTGGTCCATCCAGGGGGCCTCGTTCTTGTCGGTGGCACCGTGGGTGCGGAGGATGGAGATGGCACCCTGGCCAATGATGGAACCGATTTTTCCTGAGGCAGCGGAGATACCGTGGGAGGTAGATCGGTAGCGGGTAGGGAAGACCTCACCAGGGACAATGAAGGTGGTGGTGTTGGGGCCTGAAGTTGTTAGTTACGGTCTTTCGTGGAAGGAATAAAGACATACCGAAGTTGAAGAAGAACTGGGCAAGGACGTAGATGGCGAGGAGACCATTGGAGGAGATATGGTTGTAAGCAAAACCCATGACCTAAACACGTTAGCCTTGTAAACTCCCAGCCACGACAACAACTTACAATGAAAAGGATAGTCAGGATGATGAAACCACCAAGCTGAATAGTCTTTCGTCCAAGAGTATCAATAGTAGCAACCGAGACCCAGTAGCCAGGAACAGCACCGGCCAAGACAATAATGATGTTACCAACAGCAGTGTTGTGCAAGTACTCGTACATGTTGTTGGCATCCTTGGTAGAGTAGCCAATAACCTTGAGGATAGTACCGTTGTTCAAGCTGAGACCATAAAAGGCCACATCAAGACAGAACCATGAACCAGCGGTACCGATGAGGATTGACAGGTTCTTCCACTTGCTGTAGTGCTGGCAGAAGTCGCTCCAGCTGGCCTTGGGAACCTGGAGGTTGGACTTGGCGCTGGCATGGACCTGAGCACGGGCGACCTCGTCGGTGTCACCCTCACGCTTGCCATTAATGTAAGCCTTGACGTCCTCATCAGCTTGCTCAACGTCACGAGCGACGTCGAAGGTGTAACGGGGAGTCTCAGGGATGGTGAGACGGTCTATGCCAGGGTCAGTATGTGTTGAGAGATAGGGGCGTAAGTTACTTACAGTAGAGGGCAATGCAAGCAGGGACGGCACCGAAACCGACGAGGGTACGCCACATCTTGTCAACGGCGACTTGGCAGTCTCCAGTGCAGTGCTTGGTATCAGGGGCACCCTCGAGAGAAGACTTGAAGCCGAGGGTGAGGAACATCATGACGAGAGCGGCGACGAGCTGACCGATACCCTGCATGGCGAAGACGGCAGCCATCATGGCACCACGCCACTTGGTGGTAGCAAATCTGTAATGTTAATTGACCTGGATATAATCTTCTTGAACGTAGAGGAACTTACTCGGAGGTAATGATGGAAGAAAGGGGATAATCACCACCAATACCCACGCCCATAACTACACGCCAGAAGATGATAAGGCCAACAAGCGAGGTAGAAGGTGAACCAGCAGTCAGGGCCTGAGCAAGAGTCGCAAAGATGATGACAATAAGCTCCAGACCATACATCCTCTTACGACCG